CATTAAAAATATACTGGTTTCAAATTCTAGCCCTGCCACTTACTAGCTGTATAACTTTAGGGCAGGTAAGTTAACTGCTCTGCACCTTCATTTCATCATCTTTAAGTTGAATTTATAACACCTACCTCATAAAGGTATGATGAGCATTAAATTCCAGAAATGAATATCTCATTTTTAGTAATGTGAAGTTAAATGAGTATCATTAACAAATTAAAGCACTGAACACAAGGCTTGACATAGAATCGTCACTCACCAACTATTAGTTTTCTTTCTCCAGATGCACACAAGGCTAAATTTTATGTCCAAAGAAATGAAAACTGAAATTCTACATGGTCCTCCACTGGGTTGCTATAAAGCAAATGGGGTTGGTGGAATAGTCACAACTGGCTTATCACTGAGCTGGGCAGGTAAGAAAGCCAGTGCCATATAAGGTATGTATTAGAAATCAGTGATCAGAAAACAGGTTCATAAAACTGAAAACAACAAAGGAACATGACAAGCAAATAAAGAAACAAAAACTCATAGACACAGACAACAGTTTAGTGGTTACCATAGGGTAAGGGGGGAGGAGGGATGGTAGAAGATGATAAAGGGGATCAAATATATGGCAATGGAAGGAAAGCTTCCATTGGTGGTAAGCACACAATATGATATATAGATTATGTATTATAGAATTATACACTTGGAACCTATGTAATTTTACTAACCATCGTCACCCCGATAAGTTAAAAAAAAAGAAAACAGATTCAAATATATCCAAGAATCAAAGCCAATACAAGGAAGTAATGCCAGTAAATTAGTACATGAATGCTCCAAGTTATAATCATAATCAATGACTGGGAAATGTGGTCTGAATACCAAGATAATTCTACCCATTCTCCTAAATGGTGTAACTCCCTTCTGGCACTTTTGTTTGTAAAATGTGTGCAGTGACTCTTGCGCAGAGGTGACATTGAAGATTAATGACACTATGTTCCCTTGAAAATTCTTCCAATTTCTTGGCCAAGTGAGGCCTAAAGCTTTCTTCATAGGGAAACAATGAAACATGACCATCAATGTAGAGGATTTATAGATGTGACATAAGCTCCCAGAGCTATCTCAGGTGTTAGATTTTGCCAAAATGCTGGTACGAGTATATCTTGAACGTTATATTTTATTTCAGAGATAACTATCATGGCCATAGGAAGGATGGTGTTGGGTGGAGAAAATCTCTCAGAGTCCAGAAAAAGATGCTAATTGTTTTACCCTCACGGATAAAGGCAAGGGCAGTGATAGCATTGGTCTTATGACTGAATTCTGGACATAATGGAAGTAGTGAGAGTTAGGCCAATCATATACACTCATCTCTCTCTAAAGATGCTTGTCATGGGCTTATGTCTATAGTCATATGTTATGTCTTCATCTATAGCTGTATATTCTGATGGTTAGACAAAACTATACAGTATTGAAGGAACAATTACTTATGGTAGGTTCTATGGTTCTGGGTGTGAGTAGAGATAAGTATAGGAAGTGAAACACATAGGTATTTAATGATTTTAATACAATTGTAGATGAATGAGAGAAATAAAGAGGAAGGCTGACTGACTGTTGAGGCAAGGTTTTCAGGAAGGCAAATCTTCAGTAGATTCAGCATGTTTCGCAAGGTGGTGCTGACTTCACATGGTGAAAATATTATTTTTGCGGTGTGCTCAGAGGTGATTAGGATCTGGAGGATTGATGTTATTAAAACTACAAAACCATACAGAGTCAGTTCTTCCATCACCATATATTTTATCCCTTTTAACCTCATCTACTTCCCTCCTCCCCCCTTACCCTCTGGTAACAACTAAACTATTGTCTGTGTCTATGAGATTTTGTTTCTTCATTTGTTTGTCTTGTTGCTTTGTTGTTTTCAGTTTTATATACCAAATATATGGTGATGGAAGGGGAACTGACTCTGGGTGGTGAACACACAATGTGATATGTAGATGATGTATTACAGAATTGTACACCTGAAACCTATGTAACTTTACTAACAATTGTTACCCCAATAAGCTTTAATTAAAAGAATTAATTAAAGATGGATTTGAAATGTGAAAAAAAACTACAAAACAAAACGAAACTGATATATAAGCCAAACACCAATTTATTCATTTATAATGATAATTAACTTCCAAGTAGGGTAGAACACTCATGTCAACTGGTTAGCAAAATTTCTCCCCATATAAAAGTTTATATGAAGTAATTATAATCATGTTACTTTATAGAGCATGGAGTCAGAGAAAGAGGAGTTAGGTGACAATCTTAATAGCTAAAGATACATATTGGGGTGGCCTGGTGCCCTCACCCCACTGTATGTGGATCTGCCAAATTGTCTGCTGGTCAACATCCCCTGTCTGACTCTACAGAGTTTACCAATGTCGTATGGTTCTTTAATTGCCCTCTTTTCTAGATTTCATGCAGACCATTCTCTTGTTCACATTTCCTTCTTAAGACATTATAAAATAATTAGATTCTATCTTGCTGGGTGTCATCAATCATGTAGCAGATCTGTCTCTCTACCACTATAACCTTGATTGTACCTGGGGTTTCCCCAAGATTTGCAGTTGCAGACTATATGTTTCAGTAGGTTACATCTTATTTGTTCTATGTAAATTTTAATTTGTTTTACTCTCAAATAATTCACTCAGGTATAATTTTGAGAACATGTCCATATAACTCTCTTTATGCTAAATAATGAATTCATTCTACTTGAAGTGGATGGTGTCACTATAACAAAATTTTGAAGTGGTAAACAAAATGTTTGCTAGCTAGTGGACAGCAAAACAGTATCCCAGTATTGTATTCATATTCTCAGTCTGGCTGTTGGATTGTATCACACAGAGCACAGGAAGTCCTTGATTGAAAATTCCTGAATAAATAGCCCCAAGAAGTGGGAGGTAAACTGAAGTTATTATCCCAGAATTAATTATCTTTTCTGAGAAGCTATGAAATAGGAAAATTTCTTGAGGAAAAAAAAAGGTAATTTTGCTGCAGAGAGAAGGTCCAAACAGAAAATAAAGTGACATGTCTTTGTGAGAGGGCACACAATGATAAACTGTGGCCCTAAGGTAAGGAAAGATTGGTGATCAAGCCAACTGAATGCTACCATCAGCATTCCAGAACCATACTGTGGTCAGTAAGGAAAGTGACCAGAGGCTATTGGGTTGGTACTTTCTTACAGAATTGGTGGTGCTAGATCAGGATAGCTCCAGGTAATTCCAGAGTCACTTAAAGTTTAAATAAATCTTCCTGTTAGACAGTCTCATATAATCCCTGTACCCCAAGGGGAATTTCTTGGAACAACTGGAATACGTGCATTCAGGTCTCCTTATTGAGAGTGCACATGGAGTAAAGTAGATGTATAGCAAGCTGTTGATAAAAAAGACTCCTTGTGATTGTAAATAAGGATTGGCACAGTAGTTAGCAAGGCACTGCTTGGTGAAAAAATTTGTATGTTAGTGCTACAATATGAGAGTAGTAAGCTCCTAGCTGGGTTTCAGTGTTGCCAATGTTAGCATAATTCTCCAAGAACAAGGTAAAAGTACAACTGAACTTCATATTCTGAGAGGCCTTGATTGCCGGCAGGGAAAATGGAATTACCAATCTTTCATCAGGAGATCCATTATGGGGATGTACACGAGCACCAAGAAGCAGGGAACAGAGGACTGGTAATTACCAGCAAACACTGATCATCATTGGATATCCTTAAAATTTTAGGGAATTGTACCTTTCCAACATAACACTACTTTTGTTCAGAAGCATTAGGAATCCATACAGAGCTGATGTGTGTAAAGAGCACAACACAGGCAATAAACCCCCCACACACACTTTTTGAGTTTTATGTATAGATGGTGCTGGTTTTGCCCCAGGATTCTCCAGATGAGATGGTTCAGAATGTTGCCTGCCATTAATTATTCTTCAATAATGTCACATAGTTGAGGGTTTCTAGAAGTGGTCCATAGCAATAGAGCTTAATATCAATGGGCACTGACCATACTGAGGCCTCTAGAGTCAGAAAATACTGCAGGGTCTGACCCTCAGTTTTCAGTGGAGTTACCTAACTAAAGCAGCAAGGACATGCTATAGACACAGTAATTATGATGGGACACCTTCTCCAACTCTCATTAGATACTTGTTAGCGGTCATTGTCCTAGATCATTTTGACTTGGCCATAAGACATGCAGAAACTTAAAGTAGGTTATTGGCGAAAAGGAAGGTAAGCTGGGATTGTTAGAGGTTGGCTAAAAACATGTACCTGCCTAAGGGGCTAGCTCTCAAAGTAGTGGACTGACAGTTCTAAGCAGAGTATTCAAAGGGCCATATTATTTGATTTGTCAATAGTCAAGAGATCCAATTTTTTTGGCAAGCAGAAGTCTTTAAATGGCAACAAAATTCATAGCTGTATGGGAAGTTGGCAGAGTTGTGTTTCCATGAAGGTTGGTTTGTGTTGAAGTGGGACTGTAATCGATAGGTGGAGCAGGAGCCAGCCTCTAGTAGGGAAACATTGTTAGGATATGGAAACGCAATTAAGACTTCAGCCCAGAGTCCTAAAAGAGGGAACAATGAAGGTGAGGGTGAGAGGCATAAGCCCAATCTTAGGCACAAAATACTTGAGCCAACAATCTCAACCCAGATCTCATCTATTGGTAGGGATGGGGTTCCTAATGTACTGTAAAGGGTTGTTTTCACTGGCAAAGACTAGTCAGAATTTTGCCTGCAGGCTTTCAGTACTCAGGAAATTTGTTCCAACTACAGAAAGTACCTATGAATTGTTTTCATCATTGTTGGGTTAGGTTTGGTGATGGGTTATCAAATAAACAATATTTGGTTATTTAAATTTCCAGAAGCACATAAGTTATGACTGTGTAAAGTGATATCACAGTTCCCCATCTGTATTTTAAGTGTTAGTGCAGTATATAAATCAGTAAGGCTGGAGGTACAAGGGGTGTAAGTTTATAAATGAATTGCCTGGGCTCCTTTTACTTGTGAGCTGGGTTATTTGTCCTTGCTGGGGCTCAAAATCATTTGGCAAGACAATCTCCTATGAAGTGACCAGCCTGGCTGCAGTAGAGGTACAACTGAGTTTCTTCCTGGTGAGCTCTTTTTGTTGGGGTGAGAGATGGCTGATTTCCTCTTAGCTGTATAGGTTCTTCCCTGGGTGGTGGACCTGTGGGGCTGGAGAGGGTTTGGTGGTGGATTAGGGAAGCCAACACTGGGAGCTGGACCTCAGACTGTAAGAGCTCTGGCCTGTCACTACATTTCTTGTTCAACTGAATATACTGAATGATCAGGTCTGGGAGGTTGTCCATCATAACTCCGCCACTGACTCCATCCTGAATGGGGTCAGCTAGTCTCTCTTGGAAGTGATCACTCTGATTGGCTTTATTATAAATCAGATTTTGAGCAAAAAGCTTCTTAGTAGCATCCTACTAAGAAGAGTTGTCCCCTTTGTTAACATTAGCATTCATCAGGTTCATTTCCTGTTTTTTGGACTCACCAAATGACTGCTTGAACTCAAGAACAAAGTTCTCATATTGCTTCAACAGAGCACTCTGGTCAGGTCTAGATATGATCCCACAACTTTCCCTCTGCTGAGATATGTAGTAAAAAAAAAAAACGACTTGGGCATCATCTGCAGGACTGCGGATCTTGAGAGTTGTCAAGTAGTTAGTCACCTGAACAAGAAACCCTGAGAGTCTAGCAAAGTCACCATGAAATTGGGAGAGTGGTCAAGTGAGCAGGGTACAGGCATCATTGGTGTTTCCAGGGCAGGAATGACTTTTCCCCTCAGAGTAGCATTTCCCTCAGTCAGGTGCCATACTTGTGGCTGCAGAATCAGATTCTCCACCCAGAAGGAGGAATGCTCTACTTGCAATGTAGGTGATGATTCTATGTGGGTATCCATTATATCACCTGGAACTAAGTATAATTGAGTATTCATACTGGAGACAAATAGGAAGACATTGTATTTGCTCTGTCATCAAACAGACAGTCTAATGTGCAAGTAGTCAAAGCTGTTAGCTATGAGGTCACAAGGGGATGCTGAGAGCTGAGTTGGAGAGATGCCAAAAATTGCTGTCCACTACTCAGTGTTGCCCCTTCTTTATGGAGAATGCCAATGTTCTGCACATTCAGAAGAAATAAATTACCTTAGGACACATAGAGGATTTTGAATTAAGAAGATAAATATAAAAGTCACAGTAGATTTCTCTTCCCAATTCCCTTCCTTATAATACAGGGGCAATTTGCCCTCAGGCTAAGCCTTTGGTTCTAAAGCATCTTTTTCTTCCCAAGAGAATCAAAGACTTTTAAAATCAATAGTGATCTTAGAGATCATTCAGGCAAAATTCATAATTTCTCAGATGAGGAAACAGAGACCCAGAGAGGTAAAAATGTTTGCCCAAGATAACACAACTAGTTAATATTAGAGACGGCATGCTCATCAGGACTGCTGTCCAAAACAGCACTTCCTCTAGAACCATAAATATGCTCATTTGCATGTACTACTTGGGCATGATGATGGTTCATGCCCCTTGTTACTTAATGTGATCAAAGAACCAATAGTCTTTGCATTACCAAGAAGGTTGTTAGATATGCAAACTCTCAGGTCCCATCCCAGACTTACTAAATCAGTATTTCACTTTAATAAGATCCCCAGGTGATTCAAATATGCATTGAAGTTTCAGAAGAGCTGCCCTACTACAGAGCACTTAGCTTGAATTGGAATAATCACTAATTGGACTTGACTCTCAGTGCCCTAATCCTAGCCAGCATTTCTGTGGAAATCAAATTGCTTTGATGGTAGTTTATTCATTTTTTCTGACTTCCTAGTTCCTGTCTGTGTTCATATTTGGTTGTTATGGAGATAATTAAGACATCACAAGCAAGATGAAGAGGTGAGGTTGAGAAACTAGCAAACAAGAACAAAATTACTTACAAGTATAAATATTAAAATATTTAGCAGTCATACAGACCCAGGAGTCCCAAACAAGATAAATCCCAATAGGTCCACACCAAGACATATTATAATTAAAACGGCAAAGGGTAAAGTCAAAGAGGGAATCCTAAAAGCAGCATGAGAAAGACAACTAGTTAATTACAAGGCAACTTCCATAAGACTAACAGCTGATTTCTCAACCGAAACTTTGCAGGCCAGAAGATGCTGGCAAGAAATATTCAAAGTCATGAAAAGCAAGGGATCACAACCAAGATCACTCTACCCAACAAGGCTATCATTTAAAATTGAAAGAGAGATAAAAAGCTTCCCAGTCAAGAAAAAGTTAAAGGAATTCATTACCACCATGCCAGTATTACAACAAATGTTAAAATAACTTCTTTAAGAAGGAGAAGGGATAAAACAAACTAACCAAAGAAGATAAAAATATGAATAATAAAATAGCAATAATTATGTACCTATCAATAATCACTTTAAATGTAAATGGATTAAATGCTCCAATCAAAAGACATAGGGTAGTTGAATGGATAAGAAGACAAGACCCATGCATACGCTGTCTACAAAAGACCCACCTCAGATTGAAAGACACATATAGACTGAAAGTAAATGAATGGAAAAAGATATTTCACACAAATCCAAATGAGAAAAAATCTGGGGTAGAAATACTTATATTGAACAAAATAGACTTTAAAAATAAGACTAAAATAACAGACAAAGAAGGACATTACATAATGATGAAGGAAGGGATCAATCCAACAAGAGGACATAACCCTAGTAAACAACTATACACCCAACACAGGAGCACCTAACTATATAAAAAATGATGACTGACATAAAGAGAGGGATCAACAGTAACACAATAATAGTGGGGGACTTTCATACCCCATTGACAACAATGGACAGATTTTCTAGACAGAAAATCAACAAGGAAATAGCAGCCTTAAATGACAAACTAGACCAGATGGGTGTCATTCACATTTTTAGAGCACTTCACCCTAAAGCAGCACCATATAACTTTTTCAAGTGCACATGTAACATTTTCCAAGATAGACCACATGTTAGGCCACAAAACAAGTATCAATAAATTTATGAAGATTGAAATCATATCAAGCAGCTTCTCTGACCACAATGGTATGAAACTAGAAATCAATTACAAAGAAAACCTCCTGAAAAATCACACAAACACAGGAGGCTAAATAACATGCTACTAAATAATGAATGGGTCAACAATTAGGTCAAGATAGAAATCAAAAGATACCTTCAGAGCAACGAAAATGAAAATACAACCACACAAAATCTATGGGACACAGCAAAAGCAGTTCGAAGAGGAAAATTCATAGCAATGCAGGCCTACATCAAGAAATAAGAAAAATCTAAAATATACAGTCTAACTTTACACATAATGGAACTGGAAAAGAACAGCAGACAAAACTGAAAAGATCAGGTGGACACAAATGAAATAGAGGCTAAAAAAACAATTAAAAAAATCAATGAAACCAAGATCTGTTTTTTTGAAAAGATAAACAGAATTAATAAACCTTAAATGACACACATCATGAAAAAATAAAGAACACCCAAGTAAATAAAATAAAAAATGAAAGAGGAGAAGTGACAATGGACATCACACACAAAAAAATTGGCATCTCGCTCCCTGCATCTCTAGCCCGAGCAAAGGCAGAATTCTCTGGCCAGGCGACTGGGGGACAGAGAGAGGAGTGTGAGAGCAGAGGAACAGTCTGTCCGCGCCTGCAGCTGCGGAGCTGTGGATTAGTTCCCACAGCTCACTCCCTGAACCTCCGGCCCGCACACTAAGACAGAATCCTCAGGCCGGGCGAGTAGGGGAATGGAGAGAGGAGTGCATGACCAGACACAGTCTGTCAGTGCCCGCAGCTGTGGAGTGGTAGGTTTCCAGGACGTGGTGGAGTTGTTTGCACCATCAGGGCAAGCTCAGCCTATGGGCTGACTGTCCCGCCAGGAGTGCGACGGGAGTCCGAGGTGGCGTGGACTCTGAGGCACAAATCTCAAACCAGCTGAGCAGGAGAAAAGGGAAGTGAGAAGTGTGGAGATGCAGCCCACCCCCCACAGCTGTACAGTCATGAGATGCAGCGCCAGGAGAGCAGCAGGGGCTCTGCTGGAGTGTGGGAGCTCACAATGGTGAGGGGTTTTTTTTTCTTTCTTTCTTTCTTTTTTCCCCCCTTTTCTCTCAGACAGGAAAAACAACTGCATAGATAAGAGCCCACCCTCACCCTCCCTCAGAAACCTTGGACCCCATCCTGCCAGAGCCTGAGGCTGACCCTTGAAGAGAGGAGTAGTGTCAGAACAAAGGTGCTCCTACTCCCTGGGGGTTGAGAAACTTTACATGAGAAGAGGCTGCGGGAGTGTGCGCCTAAACACACCATCCCCGCCCCCACCACTCCTGCGAGGCTCAAGAGGCAGAACAACTTCAGCTGCTGGGTCACTCAGGCCTTCCGGGCAAGAGGCTCCTAGCAGCTCTGAAATCTCCACCTCACCCACCCACCACCACCAGCTCCCAGTGGAAAGAGCGCCTGAAAATGCAAATCCAGCCCTCTGGCTGTGTAGAACTCAGAGTACCTCTGGGCAGGCAGGAGCAGAAACAGCACTGACTTTGTAAAAAAACTACCAATCACACCTCATAACCCCACTCATCTAAAATAGAGCTGCATTACCAGGCTCACTCTAGGTGCCAGGTGGCTGGTTCTGCCCCCATAAGACACAGAGGAGTTTGTGTATAGCAGAAGAAAACGTGGGGAGAGCTTGGCGGACTTCAGCCAAGATTGGCACTGGTTATTTCTTGTATTTTCTCCCTTTTTTATTGTTTGTTTTTGTTTTGGGCTTCTCTTTTGGTGTGTTATATTGTTGTTGTTAGTTGGGTTCTCTTAGATGTTTTTGGGGTGGTTTTCACTGGTTGCTTGTGTTGGTTGTTGGATTCTTCTATTTCATTAGTATTTTTAGTTTTTTATATAGGCATATATAAAGGTTCATATATGTGGATATATATGTCCATACATATGGGGGTGTAGACATTTATATTTTTTTTCTTATTTTTTCCTCTTTCTTTCCTTCTCTTTTACCCTCTCTCTCTCTCCCTTCTTTTCTGCTTCCTTGTCACAGCTCGACTTTGCTTCCTTCTTTCCATTTTTTCGGCAAGTTTCTGTTGTTGTTGTTGTTATTTTAAGGGTGTTGCTATTTTGTTTCTTGCATTTATTCTATTTTTTAGCTTATTATATTTTATTTTATTTTGTTCTGCTATTTGTTCCTTGCTTTTTTTTTGTAGTTGTTGTTTTGTTTATTTTGGTTTGTTTTCTCCTTTTGTATGATTGATATTTTCTGTACCTGTTGAGTGTAAAGTGATGGTTGTTTGGTACATCAGACAGTATCTGGTTACCTTTGGTGGCTGTTGTGGCTGTGCTTATTGATCTGTTTTGCCCTAAAACCTGATCTGCAGCGGGGCCCAGTGAAAAAAAACACAAGAATCATCACACCCAGAGACCAACTTTAGATAAAACCAGAGCATTACAGGGTCTGAACTACAAGATCCAAACTCAAAAGGAAATTGCTACAGACACAACTCCCATAGAGGCCAAGCCTCATTAGAGTGGTCAACCCTCACACAACAGCTTATAAACTTAGGACACAGCTAAATCTCATGGCTAGTCAGCATGGGAGTCAAGGCCACCTACTGACAAGCTGAAAGCAATCAAAACTAGACCTCAACAGGAGAAGGCACACAACTAGACCTCAACAAGAGAAGGAACACCTCTGGTACACACACACAGGAGAAAAGGGAGTCTGAGTAATTCAAATATAAAGGACACATATCACATAAGTCCACCCAGAAAAGACGGAGAGACCTAGGGGATCTACCTATGTCATTGAAGCAAACATAAAGAATAAGCCAGAATGGGGAAACAAAGAAACACATCCCAAAT